TCTCACTTCTCTTCTCCTCAATTCTACCCTCAAGAGATACTAGAATTCCTCACCTTTTTGATTACCAGGCACTGTCTTACTTCCAAGACCACTGAATCCGAGGTGCCTTCTAGCTCAGGGACCTAGATTTTAGACTTAATATAACAACTTTTCCTGTCTCTCCACATGAGGTGCATTTGTTTTTCCTCTTAAAGTTTTCCTTAACAACAACAAGAAAGGTAGTAAAATTCACCTGCTGTTAGGAGTCATGACTCTTTCTATTGCAGCTGGCAGAAACCCATGACAACCTGGTTTAGATAAAGGGGGAGAGGACTATTGGAAGAATCTTGGAGTTGGGAATATTGCACAGAATTGAAGGAAAAACAAGAAAACTATCGGAAAGAACCCTGGGGTGGTAATATAGTAGTGAGCCAAGTGTCCCGGGCTTTGTGGAGAAAGAGTCCACTAGATAAATGATTAGGTGCGTATAAAGGTAATTGCAATTTTTGCCATAACTTTTAATTGCAAAAACAGCAGCTACCTTTGTACCAACCTAACAGAATCACCCCTGCCTGTGCGTCTACTCTGTGAAAAACCCCAGGCTGAAGTCCGCATGATAACATCCACAGGACTCTATGTTTGCCCCTGCTCAGCCCCTCCAGTCCATCCAGCTCCTGCATTGTCCTCTGCAAACACAGAAGTATCTCCATAATGCATGGTCTGAGATACTCCTATATTAAGTAATTCCTGCCGAAGATGAGCTCACTATAAAACTAATATTGCACCGACACCCAACATTCTACTTAATGACAAAGGCTGCAAGCTTTCCCCTAAGACTGGAAATAAGGGAATTGGGAATGATGTCCACTCTCACCACTCTTATTCAACATAGTGCTGCAGGTTCTAGTTAGTCTATTAAAGTAAGAAAAAGAAATAAAATGATCTCTATTTGTACATGAAATGATTATCGAGAAAATCCCAAGGAACCTATTTTAAAAACTCTCCTATAACTAATAGCTGAGTTCAGCAAGGTTGCAGGATATAAGATTAAAATACAGAATCAATTGCATTTCTATATACTAGCAATGAACATGTGGACACCAAAATTTAAAATACAGTGCCATTTACCATCACTAAACCAAAAAAATGAAGTACATAGGTGTAAATCAAACAAAATATACAAAATGTGTATGATAAAAACTACAAATCAAAGATCTAAATGAATGGAGAGACATACTATGTTCATGGATTGGAAGACTCAACATAGTAAAGTTGTCAGTTCTCTCCAAATTGATATACAGGTTTAATGCAATACCTGTCAAAATCCCAGCAATATATTGTTGTATGTATAAACAAGATTATTCTAAAACATGTGAAAAGATGAAGGAACTAGAAACTCTAAAACAATTTTGAAGTAGAATAAAGTGGGAGGAATCAGTCTACCCAATTTCATGACTTACTATACAGCTACAGTAATCATGGACTGTATGGTATTGATGAAGAGAAGACACATAGATCAATGAAACAGAATAGAGGACCCAGAAATAGATGCATAAATATGCCCAGCTGATTTTTGACAAAAATGCACAAGCAATTCAATGGAAAAAAGTATTTTCTTATTTATTTATTTATTTTAAATTTATTTATTATACTTTCAGTTCTGGAGTACATGTGCAGATCATGCAGGTTTGTTACGTGGGTACACACATGCCATGGTGGTGGTTTACTGCATCCATCACCCCATCATCTACATTAGGTACTTCTCCTAATGCTATCCCTCCCCAGTCCCCCCACTGCCTGCTATTCTTCCCTAGCTCCTCATGCCCCCACGCCCTGGTGTGCGATGTTCCCCTCCCTGTGTCCATGTATTCTCATTGTTCAACACCCACTCATGAGTGAGAACATGTGGTGTTTGGTTTTCTGTTCTTGTGTCAGTTTGCTGAGAATGATGGCTTCCAGTTTCATCCATGTCCCTGCAAAGGACATGAACTCATCATTTTTTTATGGCTGTGTAGTATTCCATGGTGTATGTGTGCCACATTTTCTTTATCCAGTCTTTCATTGATGAGCATTTGGGTTGGTTCCAAGTCTTTGTGTCTTTATAATAGAATGATTTATAATCCTTTGGTTTTATACCCAGATTGCTGATAATGGGATTGCTGGGTCAAATGGTATTTCTATTTCTAGATCCTTGAGAAATCTATTTTCAACAAATAGTGTTGGGGCAATTGGATAGTTATAGGCAAAAACATGAGCCTTAATGCAAGTCTTAAACTTATATAAACATTAACTCAAAATGGGTCACAGACTTAAGTGGAAAACTTAAAATTATAAAACTTTTAGAGACAACATAGGAGAAAATCTCAGGATTTATAGCTAGCCAAAGAGTTACTAGCTTTGACAACAAAATTGCCACCCAGAAAAGGAAAAATTGATAAATTGGACTTCATTGAAATATAAACTTCTTCCTGTAAAATACCTTGTTTAAAATATGAAAAGGTGGGGACCATTGGCTCATGCCTGTAATCCCAGCACTTTGGGAGGCCAAGGTGGGGAGATCACTTGAGGCCAGGAGTTCAAGACTAGCCTGGACAACATGGCAAAGCCCTATCTTTACCAAAAATACAAAAATTAGCCAGGCCTGGTGGCATAAGCCTGTAATCCCAGCTACTCAGGAGGCTGAGGCACAAGAATCTCTTGAACCTGGGAGGCAAAGGTTGTGGTGAGCTGAGATCATGTCACGGTATTCCCGCATGGGCAGCAGAGCAAGACTGTCTCAAAAAAATTAAAATAAAAAATGAAAAGACAAGCTACAGACTGGGAGAAAATAGAATCATTCACTGCTTAACAATGGGAATCCATTCTGAGAAATGTGTCGTTAGGTGATTTCATCATTGTGTGAACATCACAGAGTGTACTTACAAACAAACCTAGATGAGACGGCCCACTACACAAGCCGGCCCTGTGCCACAGCCTGTGGCTGGCTCCCAGGCTACAAACTGTGCAGCCAGTTACTGTACTGAGGACTGTAGACGACTGTGACCATGGTATTTGTGTATCTAAACCCAGAAAAGGTGCAGTAAACATATGGTATAGGGCTGGGCGCAGCGGCCCATACGTGCAACCCCAGCACTTTGGGAGGCCAAGGCAGGCGAATCACTTGAGGCCAGGAATTCAAGAACAGCCTGGGCAACATGGCGAAATCCCATCTCTACAGAAAATTAGCCAGGCCTGGTGGCATGTGCCTGTGGTCCTAGTTACTTGAGAGGCTGAACGGGAGGATCATTTGAGTCTGGGCAAGTCGGGGCTGCAGTGAGCTGTGATTGTGCCACTGCACTCCAGCCTGGGTGACAGAGTGAGACCCTGTCTTAAAAAAATATTATACGGGGCCAAGCATGGTGGTTCATGCCTGTAATCTCAGCACTTCGGGAGGCCGAGGCAGGCAAATCACTTGAGGTCAGGAGTTAGAGACCAGCCTGACCAACACAGTGAAACCCGGTCTATACTAAAAATACAAAAAAGTAGCTGGGTGTGGTGGTGTGCACCCATAATCCCAGCTGCTCAGGAAGCTGAGGCAGGAGAATCGCTTGAACCCATGAGGCAGTGGTTGCAGTGAGCTGAGAGCACACCATTGTACTCCAGCCTGGGTGACAGAGAGACTGTCTAAAAACTATATATGTGCCATAAAAGATTTTTAAGAATGGTACACTTGTATTGGGCACTTACCATGAATGGAGCTTGCAGAACTGGAAGTCACACTGGGAGAGTCAGTGGGTGGGTGGTGAGTGACTGTGAAGTCCTAGGACATTACGGTACACTACTGTAGGCTTCCAAACATTGCACACTTAGCTATATTACATTTATAAGCACAGTTTTTCTCATCAATAAGTTAACCTTAGTTTACTGTAAGTTTTATACTTTATAAACTTAGTATTTTAACTTTTCAATCCTTTTTGTTCAAAACTAAGACACAAGCACACACATTAGCCTAGATCTGCACAGGGTCAGGATCACCAATGTCACTGTCTTCCATCTCCGCGTTTTGTCTCTCTGGAAGGTCTTCAGGGGCAATGGCACACATGGTGCTGTCATCACCTATGATAGCAATGCCGTCTTCTAAAATGCTTTCTGAAGGGCCTGCTACTTCACTGAATTTGTTTTATAGATAGAAGGAGTATACTCTAAAATATTGATCAAAAGTATAGTATAGTAAAGACATAAACCAGTAACATATTTATTATCAAGTATTATATACTGTACATAATCATGTGTTTTGTACACCAGGCTAATTTGGTATTTTTAGTAGAGACCAGGTTTCACCATGTTGGTCAGGCTGGTCTTGAACTCCTGACCTCATGTGAGCTGCCTGCCCTGGCCTCCCAAAGTGCTGGGATCACAGGCATGAGTCACAGTGCTCTGCTATAGTTTGGTGATTCTAACGTGTAGTGATATCTTATGGTTTAAATGGGCATTTCCCTCATGAAATCAAACATCTTTTCATGTGCTTATTTGCCATCTATATATATATCTTTTCAGTGAAATGTTGTGTTGTATCTTTTGCTCATGTTCTAATTGGATCGTTTTGTTTTGTTACTCTTTAATTTTGACACTTTAAAAAAATGTTTTCTAGATACTAGTCCTTTGTTGGACTGTAATCCCAGCTACTGGGGAGCCTGAGGCAGGACGATCCCTTGAACCCAGAAGGCAGATGTTGCAGTGAGCTGAGATCGTACCACTGCTTTCCAGCCTGGGTGACAGAGCAAGACTCTGTCTCAAAAAAAAAAAAAAAAAAAAAAAAATGAGATAATCTCCAAAGTTCCTGTGAGCTCTGTGGCCCTGTCACTCTGATTTTTCAGATTCTTCCCTGGGAGACTGGAGTTTCCACGACATGAAAATTATCCCTGCTTAAGTGAGCTATTCCAAGCAGCTGGGACACCTGCGTCCCTCCTGTCAGTGACTGCCCAGGTGTTAGCTGGTTCCTACCAGCTGGGGAGGAACCAGGTGGGTTGGCTGGGATGGGCGGATATTTAAAGACTGGGCCTTGGGCCCTGCAACACTGCTGTCTCCGCTCCTGCCTGCTGTCATGTGGCTGGGGCTTCTCCTCCTGCTGTGGCTGAGCCCTGGGGTGAAGACAGGTGAGGAGCTAGGCTGATCTGCGCTAGAGGTCAAGGAGACCCCCACCTCTGGTCTCTCAGTCATTCAATCAATCTCTTCTGTCTCTGACGAGACCCACCTCCTGTGGTCTAGCATTCATTAATTCATTAATCAAATAATTCATGTATTCAGACCCTTATTAAGTACCGACTGAATGCTTGATGTGGCTTCTTTGTGTATCCAGCTTCATATCTGTAAGATGTCTTTGAGTCATTAGCTTGGAAGGGCCTGTTTTGGTTGTGGAGGCAGAGGAAGCTCCCTCAGACAGACGGCAACATGGGCACCGTGGGCAGCTGGGGTGGGCGGGACAGGAGGTAAGGTAGGTGTGAAGAACCCAGATCCAGATTAATAGGCAGATTCACTGGGCGGTTGCCAGGCACCAGTCCATCGGGTTTATTAAAACATCCCTGGAAATACAACAGGGTGAATTACGTTGCATTTACTAGAACTTCTCTTTTTTTCTTTCTTTTGAAACAGGGTCTTGCTCTGTCCACCAGGCTGGAGTGTCGTGGCGTGATCTCGGTTCACTGCAACCTCCGCCTTCTGCATTCAAGCAATTCTCCTGTCTCACCTCCCGAGTAGCTGGGATTACAGGTGTGCAACGCCATGCCTGGCTAATTTTTGGCATTTTGAATAGAGATGGGGTTTCACCGTGTTGGCCAGGCTGGTCTTGAACTCCTGACTTCAGGTGATCCGCCCACCTCAGCCTCCCAAAGTTCTGGATTACAGGCGTGAGCCACCAGAGCTCTCTTGGGAGATAACTAGATGTCACTGAAAGGAACATAGTCAAGGAATAATAATAATGGAGATTCATTCTAAGAAATGCATCATCAGATGGTTTCATTGTTGTATAAACACCATAGAGTTCACACAGCAATGAAATAGTTTACATAAACGTAGATAATATATATTTTTATTTATATGTATGCTTTCCACATGAAAAGCCAAGTGTCCCAGAAAATGTCCCATTACTGAGTATCGGTCATCTCCCCTACTTGACCCACAATGCCAGTGCCAAGTGGCATCTACTGGTTTTCTGTGTATACCCTATTATAATCTCGCGGGACCACCGTCAGATACATGGTCCCTCATTGGTCTAAACATCATTACGTGGTGCAAGAGTATACTTCTTGGCCGGGTGAGGTGGCTCACATCTGTAATCCCAGCACTTTGAGAGGCTGAGGCGGGCAGATCATGAGGTCAGGAGTTCAAGACCAGCCTGGCCAACATGGTGAAACCCCATCTCTATTAAAAATACAAAAATTAGCCGGATGTGGTGGTACACGCCTGTAGCCCCAGCTACTTGGGAGGCTGAGGCAGGAGAATCACTTGAACCTGGGAGGTGGAGGTTGCGGTGAGCCAATATCTCACCACTGCACTCCAGCCTGGGCGACAGAGGGAGATTCCGCCTGGGGGGGGAAAGAAGACTGTACTTCTTGTTGGGGTGGGAGCCGTGAGCGGTGTGCTAAGTAGCAACAGACATGTTATTCAATTGCTTTGTAAAAAGAACTTTTGGGTAAGTGAGGACTTCAGTTTTGCTTAGTGGGGTTTGCAGGTTTGGGGCTGGAGCAGGCTCACTGGGGCCGTGGAGGACTGGAAGAGGCTGCCCGATGTACCCCTCCCTCACCTTCCCCAACAGCCCTCACCTTCTGCTCTACCAAATTCTCAAACACATTTAAAGAGTACTACTCTGGGCTGGGCGCGGTGGCTCATGCCTGTAATCCCAGCACTTTGGGAGGCTGAAGTGGGCGGATCACGAGGTCAGGAGATCAAGACCATCCTGGCTAACACAGTGAAACCCCATCTCCACTAAAAAGGAAAAATGCAAAAAATTAGCCATGCGTGGTCGCACGCACCTGTAGTCTCAGCTACTCAGGAGGCTGAGGCAGGAGAATCCCTTGAACCCGGGAGGCAGAGGTTGCAGTGAGCTGAGATCGTGCCACTGTACTCCAGCCTGGTGACAGAGAGAGACCCTGTCTCAAAAAAGATAAAGAGCACGACTCTGGAGAGGCACCAAATTAGCTGTGGGCTCTTCGTCCAGCCCTGTCTGGGCCTGTTGCAGGTCTCACAGCTTGGCACTTCTGTGAGCCTCAGGGTCTGAAGACTGGGATGGTCCTAAAGGAGTCACCAGAGGTGCCACCTCCCCAGGAATGCATCTGCTGATGGACTTGCTGTCCTTGCTCTAACTCCGTGGCTCTCTCCTCCTGCCTGTGGCACGGCATTTCCCAGACAGTATGAGGGCGTTCTGCTCACTAGACTGAGGACCTATCGGGTGTTCTTCTGGGGGATGGAGTGGGACAGCACAATGTGACCGCATGATCCACCATGACACCATTTTATTCACTCGATAGAATAAAACGAATGAATGCATGAGCCAGTGAGTCAGTGAATTGGTGCTTGGTCATTGTGGGAATGAACTTCTTTTCCCTTAATGTGCTATAATTTCTTTTCTTTTCTTTTTTTTTCTTCTCATGTCCTTGAGTTAATTTTTTCTTTTACTTTTTTAAAATTAAATTTTTTTTTGAAACAGAGTCCTACCTTTTTGCCCAGCCTGGAGTGCAGTGGTGAAATCTTGGCTCAGTACAACCTCCACCTCCCGGGTTCAAGCAATTCTCCTGCCTCAGCCTCCCAAGTAGCTGGGACTACAGGTGCACACCACCACACCTGGCTAATTTTTTTTTGTAGAGATGGGGTTTCACCATGTTGGCCAGGATGGTGTCAAACTCCTGAACTCAGGTGATCCTCCCACCTCAGCCTCCCAGAGTGCAGGGATTACAGGTGTGAGCCATCATTTTTTGGTGGTACCAGTCAGGACTGTTCATAACTGTACTTCTCTCCTGGCCCGTGGATACTGTGCAGGTTCAGATATGAGCCTAAAGTTCAATTCAGAGCTTTTTTGTTTTTTGAGACAGAGTCTCTGTCGCCCAGGCTGGAGTGCAGCGGCGTGATCTCGGCTCACTGCAACTTCTGCCTCCCGGGTTCAAGCAACTCTCCTGCCTAAGCGGGGATTAGCCCCCCAGGCCTGGCTAATTTTTTTGTACTTTTAGTAGAGATGGGGTTTCACAGTGTTAGCCAGGATGATCTCGATCTCCTGACGTCGTGATTTGCCTGCTTTGGCCTCCAAAGTGCTGGGATTACAGGCATGAGCCACCGCGCCTGGCCAATCCAGATCTTTTGTATTCAATTAAATAAAAATGACTTGGCATTGTTGTTATGAGAAATACAGACACGTTTCCTGCCTTTAAGAAGCAGGTAGGGAAGACAGACCTTACTTACAGAGAGAAAGCTGAAACAGTGAGGCAGACAGGGAGGCATGCAATGAGAAGTTGAAATCGTAGCTTTTAGGGTGAGAATAAAAGATTGATCTCAGCTGGGAGGATGTAGGAATTCAGAATGGACTGAATTTATTTTTAAAAACCATTTATTATGGAAAACGTCAAACACACACAAAAGTAGAGAGAACAGAATAATGAGCCCAGGTACCAGCTGGCCAGCTTCAAAATTGCCAGCATTGTGTTCAAGCTCTTTGTTTTTGAGATGGAGCTTCGCTCTTGTTGAAGTGCAATGGCGCAGTCTTGGCTCACTGCAACCTTCGCCTCCCGAGTTCAAGCGATTCTCCTGCCTCAGCCTCCCAAATAGCTGGGATTACAGGCGCACGCCACCACACCCAGCTAACTTTTTGTATTTTTAGTAGAGATGGGGTTTCACCATGTTGCCCAGGCCAATCTCCAACTCCGGACCTCAGGTGATCCGCCTGCCTTGGCCTCCCAAAGTGCTGGGATTACAGGTGTGAGCCACCGTGCCCAGCTCAAGCTCTTGTCCCCCATATTTTAAAAATATAACCACAAAACCTTATCAGAGCCAAAACAAATATGGCTGCACTGTAATCCCAACACTTGGGAGGCTGGGGTGGACAGATCACCTGAAGCCAGGGGTTTGAGACCGGCCTGGCCAACGTGGTGAATTCCCCCTCTCTCCCAAAAATACAAGAATTAGCTGGGCATGGTGGCAGGTGCCTGTAATCCCAGCTAGTCAGGAGGCTGAGGCGGGAGAATCACTTGAACCTGGGAGGTGGATGTTGCAGTGAGCCAAGATCGTGCCACTGCACTCCAGCCTGGGCAACAGAGGGAGAGTCCGTCTCTAAAACAAAAAACAAACAAATAAAACAACCACTTACTATTGTTTAATGCCTATGAGTGTTCATATTTCCCCCACTTGTCAAAAATATCTTTTTTTTCAGCTGCAAAGTAGAAGAGAAAAAGAAAAAAAAGGCTGGGTGTGGTGGCTGAGGCCTGTAGTCCCAGCACTTTGGGAGGTCAAGGCGGGAGGATCACCTGAGCTCAGGAGTTTGAGACCCTGCGTACAATAGCAAGACTCAGTCTCTACAGTTTTTTTTCTAATTAGCCAAGTGTGTTGGTGCGCACCTGTAGTCCCAGCTATTCAGAAGGCTGAAGTGGGAAAATTGCTTGAGCCCCGGAGGTTGAGGATGCAGCAAACCATGACTGTACCGCTGCAGTGCGATCTGCTCAACCGAGGCAGACCGTGTCTCAAAAAAATAAAATAAAATAAAGAAGGAAGGGAGGAAGGAAGGAGGAAGGAAAAAAAGAAAGGAAAGAAAGAAAAAGAAAAAAGAAAGAAAGAAAAAGAGAAAGAAAGGAAGGAAGAAAAGAAGCCTTTTTACAGCTGCCTTATTCAAGTCAAAATCCAAACAAGATACACACATTTAACTGGTATATTCTTAATGTCTTTAAATCTGTACCTAGATCAGCGCCGCCTCTTTCACGTCATTTAATTACAGAACAAATCAGGTACTGTGTCCTGCAGCGTAGCCTACCTTCTGGCTGGTGGATTGAATCTTCGTGGATGTCCCTCTGCCCCTGTCTTTCCTGAAATCTGGTAGCTGAGAAGAGATCCGGGCTGGAGACTTCTTTGGAAGGAAGAATCCGTGGGTGGGCACTTCCTGCTGTGTCTGGAAGCTGTC